GGAATGAAGAAACGATCACAGATTTCTTGTCGTGAATACTATTCATACAAGTTACAAATTCGACGTTCTGGTAAGTCTGTGTTGCTTCATGCTGGTAGACTTTTTCAACAATATGTTGTAGATGTGTATGTTAAAATTGAAACTGTCAGGTTAGATTATTTTTGAAATAATCATAAACAAATTCGTGCTGAACTTTATCAAGGTATTGTTGATAGTGTTGAAAATAAGTACTCTCATCTTCATTCTATTATTGTAAAACACAATATGCACGGTCCTTGTGGAAATCTTCATCCAAAGAATGTATGCATGCTAAAACATAATGGTTGTAAGAATAAATATCCTAAGGAATATTGTGACACTAATATATTCGGTGATAACTCATATCCATTGTACATGCGTCGTAATAATGGTATTTGTATTAAAGTTAAAGGCCATATGTTGGACAATCGATGGGTCGTCCCATATAATCCTTATTTAAGTGCAAAATTCGGCTGTTATATTAATGTTGAGGTATGTTCTTCTATTAAAACTGTAAAATATTTGTACTAATATGTATACAAAGGGCATGATCGTATTAATTTTTTCGTTGATAAGAATCAATCAACTAAGGAATTTGATGAAATTTTTGCTTACCAGTCTGCTAGATGGATATCTTCACCTGAAGCTATGTGGAGGATTTTTTCTTTTCACTTATCTGAAATTTATCCGACTGTTTATTCTTTACAATTTCATATTGAAGATCATCAACAAGTACGATACAACGATACAGATAATTTATCTACTATTATTGAAAAATGAAAATATAAGGAGAACAATGTTAACTGAATTTTTCCACATGAACGAAACAAACGAATTTGCACGAACATTGTTGTACAGAGATTTCCCAACACATTTTGTCTGGAATGCAAATAAGAAAATTTGGACTCCTAGAAAACAACTTGTTATAGGACGAATTGTCACTGCCAATCCAAGTGAAGGTGAGCGAAATTTCCTTCGCATTCTTCTTAACCATATTAGAGGGCCAACATCGTTTGATGATTTAAAAATTTTGAATGGGGTAACTTACGCTACATATCGAGAAGTAGTACTTTTATATGGTTTTATAAGAGGAGATAATTATTGTGAAGAATGTGTATCCGAAACTATTGTGTACGAAATGCCTGTCTCTTTAAGACGTCTTTTTGCTACAATTCTTACGCTTTGCAATTCTGATCATCCAAAGTTATTGTGAGATAAATTTAATGCATATATGATTGATGATTATATACATCAAAATATATCTGCTAAAGTTGCTGAAGTACGAGCTTTGGAAGACATCAATTCGATTTTAGAACCCCTAGGTAAAAATATCAATGATTATGGAATAGTAACATTTTCTGTAGATATAGATGAGGATGATAAATTGACCCGAATGGTTGCAGAGGAAACAATGAATTCGGATATTGAAGGGGGCCTAGCTTGTGCAACAATGTTAAATAAAGAACAACAAATTGCATATGATATGATTATGGAAAAAGTCAAAACTGAATCAAGTGATTGTTTCTTCATTGATGGTCCAGGGGGGACAGGCAAGACTTTTTTGTACAAAACACTTTTAACTGGTGTGAGGTCTCAAAATTTAATTGCTTTGGCAACAGCGTCCTCTGGAGTATCTGCATCTCTTTTACCTGGAGGTCGAACAGTTCATTCGAGATTCAAAATTCCTTTGGAAACATTTGGTGAAGTTAGTTGCTCTGTTAGCAAGCAATCGGCTTTGGGATCGTTGTTTAAAATGTGTAGGCTAATAATTTGGGATGAAGCACCCATGGTAAATCATTGTGCTATTGAAGCTGTAGACAAAATGTTTAAAGACGTTATCGAGAATAACTTGCCTTTCGGTGGGAAAGTGATTGTTCTTGGAGGAGATTTTCGACAAGTTCTACTGTTAGTACCAAGGGGGATAAAAGAAGATATAATGAAATCTAGCTTAGTTTTTTCAAACTTATGGCCTTTGTATACACAGCTATCTTTGGTTGAGAATATGAGAGCAAAATTAGATCCTACATTTTGTGATTACTTACTTAGAATTGGAGATGGAATAGAAGAAGAACATGTTTGTAACTGCGTTCAACTTCCAAATAGTATAATCTTGCCATTTGAGAATGAAACAACATCTCTAAAAAATTTGATTTGTCATGTTTTCCCAAATATAGAAGCATATGCTGGTAATTTACATGACATGATAAACAGAGTTATTCTTACGCCTACAAATGAATATGTTGACTATATTAACAACATTTTGCTCAACCAAATTCTAGGTGACATTTTCACGTACTATAGTTTTGATGAAGCTATTAACAGATCAGAACAAAGCTTGCAGGAAGATTTTTTGAATAGTTTAACACCAAATGGTATTTCGCCGCATGAATTGAAACTTAAGGTAAATTGTCCAGTAATGCTATTGCGAAATATTAATCCTTCTGAAGGTTTATGCAACGGAACTCGCCTTACTTGTCGAAAGTTTGAAAGAAATGTAATTCTGGCTGAAATTACAACTGGTGAATATCATGGCAAATATGTGTTCTTACCAAGGATTCCTTTTATACCTCTTCGTAATGATCGACAATCAATCCAATTTAAGAGAACTCAATTTCCAATGAGACCTTGTTTTGCAATGACGATAAATAAAGCACAAGGTCAGACTCTTGATTACGTTGGTTTGTATCTTCCTGAACCAGTTTTCTGTCATGGTCAGCTTTATGTAGCATTATCAGTGGGAAACATGTTTTCTTACCAAGAATTCCTTTTGTGCCTCTGAAAAATGATCATACTTCAATTCATTTTAATAGAACTCAATTCCCAATTTGACCATGTTTTGCAATGACGATAAATAAAGCACAAGGTCAAACGTTAGATTTTGTTGGTTTATATCTTCCAGAACTAGTCTTCTGTTATGGACAATTATATGTGGCATTATCGAGAGCAAAACAAGTACATCTTTGAAAGTTTTACTGAAACCATCAAACACGGATAACTTACACAACACATGCACTACAAATGTTGTGTATAAGGAAATTCTTTCATTTATACATCCATAGATTTACAGTCTTTTCACAAGTATATATATTCCCTTATTTTTGTCAGCAATTTATAAATACAGTTGTATTCCATATTTAGCAATTCCTACTCAATTGCTTATATATTTCGTTACTATATTTCCACTTACACTTGACTTCTTTTCAACTTGTTTGTTAATAGTTTCCTTTTCATCTTCTGTGTATGTTAACTTCCTTCTATTCCTTTGCACAAAACGCTTCATCGGAAATATTCTATATTATTTGATCTTTATTCTTTTCTTTTTAGTTCGAATAGCCTTGTGGATCGGAAGATTATTGAATTTTTTTATCCGATACGATTTGGTGTTGTTATTGCTAATATTTCAAGGTTTCGAATTTGGATTTTTTATTTGTACTTTTGGATCAAAGAATCAAATTTCAGTACAAAATGTAATTTCACCTTCGTTTCCCCTGCGACTTCCATTTTTTTCAATTCCAAGATTACACTAATCTCATGGGAGTGTCAGTATACATTTTTCACATATTTAACTTTATTATAGACTATTAAGCGTTTAAACCTCAGTTTATTTTACAGGTCCATATAAATTTCCTTATTTAGGTTGTAACTAACCTCATATTTGTGTTTGCAGGGCAACACATACAGTATTGAGGAGCTACAAAAAATGTTTTCAAAGATGACTCGAGGATTTGAGATTACTCAATGCAAGTTGTCCTCAACAATCCATGCACGGTGATTGAACATGGTAAAATGAAGAATGTAGCCATTTCTGAGCTATAGGTGAACTATTGATATAGTTTCTTCAATGTAAATATTTCATGATTCAATAATCAAATATATCTCATCGATAATGTTTATTTAGTTTTTATACTATTCTTCATCGTTGTTTTAAACCAATGCAAAAATGACTCTTTGTCCATAAAAATGAAATTTGTTTTGTACTTTTAGAATTGGAAAGTTATCTTCATTGCATGTTTGATTATTGTTTGGATATAGGGGAAGATAGGATAAATTTATGTTTGCCTTCTGTAATTTGGATCTAAACTGTTTCTATGGTATAGAATCTGCCTTTTCTCCTCTCTTCAACCCTTTTAATCTCACTCTTTCTCTCAACATTGTAGAAAGAAATCCCAAATAATCCGACTCCCAAAATCAATTCCTACTTTGTGTCGAAGATGAGGTCGAATGAGGATTATGAATTTTGAAACCCAATCCTTTGGTTCACACTTCCTCTGTTGCAGGTAAATCGCTTGATCAGATTGTTTCTTTTTGTTTATTGACGGAAAAAAAAAAAAGCCTTCTTTTGCTTCTTTGTCATTTTAATCCTAGAATATAACTTTACTCATGTGCCAAACATTTATAATATGAACAGATGGTGGGGACAGCTAAGTTGGGTGTTTGAGGGTGGGGTGACAGACAATTTGTATACGGGTTTTATTTTCTTTGGGGAAGTTTGAGGATGGTTTGAAGTTGTTTTCCACCGTTAGATTTAAGTATAATGCTCCGCGTACAGGAGCTTTTTCTTACAGGGGCTTACAGGCCCCTCACTGTAGAGGGGGCCCCATTGTTTTAAAAAATGATTAAAAAATATGGACCCCACCTGAATGTGTGTGGCCTGGCAGAATCTGTGAAAATTCCATCCTGTACGTGTAGCAGCTCTCCAGATTTAAATGTTGGGTTCTGGATTTTGTCTCTTATGCTGAACTTGTTGAATGTCTTTGCCAGAGGGAAAGCACTCGAGAGGCAGCCAAAGTCTTTTGCTACATGTCTAGGAAAGGTTGTGCTCTTCGATCTACCTCGTTCGATAACTTGATCGAGAAGACGTGCAAAACTTGCACAATATTCTCCACTCCCTTTTCTTTCAGACTACACCAAACCTCATCAAATCTCGTTTGAGTTGAGTTGAGTTGATTGTACGGAACCCCTATTCAAAAAAAGAAGCTTTAATGGCGGAAAACGGTGAACAGAAGCTTATTGCCGTTGCTCGACATATAGCAAATACTCTAGGCCATACTGACACCATGACTGATGATATTCTCAAGATATTCTATAACTTTGATGGGAGATTACGTGAAAAGTTAACGGAAAAACTTTCCGATGAAGACCCACGTGATTGCGCCACACTGGAACATACCCTCAAGTCTTTGAACCGCCAGATCCCGTTATGTGGCTTCTGATCAAGAGACGAGTTGAGGGTTTCAGTTTCTGGGACTTTATCTCCAGCGTACCACAACTTCATTGTAAGATTGCAGAATGCTCCAGATTTTGGGAAGCATGCAGATAGGCATATCAAGTACGGCGTGGAGGATATTGAGGCTCGAATCAACGAGTTGTTTCAAGGAAGTGGCAGTAGCAGGTGAGACCAGACCAAGTAAGAAGGCGATCTGTTGCTGTATCACGTATGTTTTTTGTAGTTTGTGAAAGTTTTATTGCATGTTAAAAGTCATCTTGTTGTAGTATGGTCTTTGCTTTGCTCTATCTTGTAAGCTTTTTGCACACAACTTGTATGTTGTAGTTGAAATCATGACATTTTGAAACAAGATATGTGATTGTATATTTTGATGACTTCGTTTGCTTGAATTGCTTGGGATATGAGGAGTGGTGCATCTGGCTGTTTAAATTGTTCATGCAGGGTACAAAAACCTGTAAACTGAATTTACTTCAATGACATAGTATGCACTTAACTTTCATCATTATTCATCTATTATAGCTTGTTGCTGTGTTATAGTGTATCATATTATTTTCATCATAGAATATGTCTTGCTGGTTATCTCTGGACTTCCTACTCTCAATGCATAGTTCTCCATCGAGTTTCTTGAAATCTGACAAGTCTCTGAAATGAGAATGCTGAATTATGGAATCCTAGTTTTTATTCATTCCTGGTGAGTTTCAACAAAATTCCAAAAATCATTAGATAATATTCATAATCCACCTACCAAAGGTACAACTAAAATACATTAAATTTCTTAAATTTGCAACAAAATTTTAATTACCAAATAAATTTCAATTTGTCCGTTGAAAATACTAGACTTCAATTTTAGTTTTAATTACCATTTTTAGTACAAATAAAATTACTATTCTTTATACACTTACAGTACTACTACATGTCATGTACTACTACAGTTGCTTCGTTCTCTTAAATACATTTTCACAAGTTAAATCCATTTCTCGTCTATTTTCCCTGGTGTTATCTCGTTTTTAGAAAAAATATAATTGTTCAATCCATTAATTTGCTAATCAGTTTGTATTCCTACATAAAGAAACATATCTATAATTAGAGGATTTATAGTGTGACCTGCAGCTATTTCCGTAAAACTTGATAGTAAATTTTTTTTTTTTCCCAATTTGTTGTATATGTTGATTTTTTCCTATTTAACAGTTTTATCTTCTACTTGTAACGCACCACTTAAGTGAATGGGGACTGGTGAACTGTGCTTTATGACTTGGTAAATGTAATCCAACATGAAGTTTTTGTTTGCAGCTAATATTTATCACGGAGATCTAAAACCCAAAAATATTCTGGCAAATGCAAATTGTAAACTCAAAATATGTGATTTTAGGTTGGCTAGAATGGCTTTCAGTTTCAGTGACACTCCGACGACAATATTTTGGATGATATTTCAGAAATCTAATTGTTTATATTTTATTTTTCATGTTCTTCAGTATCATTTGTCCATTTTTCTAAGAGTTGGTTGTTGATAGTTTTTTGGATGATGGTACAAATACAGGATTATGTTGGTACAAGATGGTATAGGACTCCACATTAAATCCAAATTGTGCACCTTTGCAAAGATATAGTAAAAGAAATATAAGAGAAAGGGGAAACTATAAGATCGCTAGAAAAATATTCAACACATTAAACATTCTAACAATGCCTACAAAATAACCAATCTCGTACATTGTTCGTGCAAAAACTAGTACTAATAAAACAGAGACTTGTAATTGCATCCCCCTTATGATAATTTAACTATTTACACAATTTTTTGCGAAATTCATTATGTAAAGAGTCGTACATTTCATATTACGATTTTACTTTTTCTATTTTCATTTCGCATAAGTATATACCATTAGGTGTTCGGACGGTAAATCTAGAAACTTCAAGTTTTTCTAGTAAATTCAATTTGATAAGATTGTGTTTATTTATTTGGCCAATTATTTTCCAATTGATATACTTCAACAATTTAATTTCGATTCCTCGCTATTCATATATAATGCAGTACATGATTTACAAAAGTGTTGTCGAAAACTTTTTCATTCGATTCTATTTTTTCCCATTATGATATAACTTATTGAAATATCTCAAATTTCAATATAACATGTACCTAAACCACTGCTAGGTTTCATAAACTTTTAGAGATATCTCAATTATCAACATATCAGGTATGTAAACTTGTTCTAGAATTTTATAATTTGTTATGTCTAAATACTCTTCAAAAGTATAAGCCTCCTTAATAGGACCATCTTTTCTAATTGCTCCATTTTCGTTTGGAGATTTTTATATTAGAATTGAATATCATCACACTTTAGGCGTGCCATAAATTTATCAAATATAATATTAACTAATTATCCTCTAGAACTTTAATTTGAGTTGGAGCATTTAAAGTTAGCGTGTGAAATATTGTTGATATTTTTGGTCAGTAAATATATCTAAATGAATTATCTTTCAAATTTTTTGTTCGAATTATCTTTTGCGAGAATCTACATAATATAATGATTCCTTTATACATTATTTTCAATTTCTTAATTCATTCCCTTAATGCTAAGAAAATTGTCCAATCAAATTGACAATCAGCAAATCACATTATAAAATATCACTCATTTAAGATAATGGTCCAAATTACTCATTTATTCTTAACATTCTTTACTTTCCATCTCAATGCATTGGTGTGGATCAATTTTACATATATTGCACTATCAAAATAATTTGATTAAAAAATTAAAATATGACAATAAGTCAAATTATAATAGGGAGAACTATGATGTGGTATGATGCCTTATAGTATCTCCTAAACAGAAATGGGGAGTATTTTGTTCTCAATAGCAAATTAAAAAATTGATCAGAGGTGTTTAACAAGAAATAGTAGCATTGACAAGACCTACAATCTTTATTGTATAATTTGAAATTATGCTCATAATTTTAACTTTTGAACAGTAATTTTGCAAACTTTAGTTTCAAACATCATACAATCATCTAGTAAATGTATCAAATTTATTAGATATAAATAATATCTAAATGGTCAATGTGAAGAGTGACGTAGCCCCGTTTATCACCCTAATCAATTTTTAGAAATATGGGGATTTCGTCCCAACTTTATCTAGTCATGATTGATGATCAACTCAATAAAGAGAATAAGCGTATTGGATTGAAGTTAATATTCATTAGCATAGACCATCTGGTCATGCCAGAATTAAAAAAAAAAAAACTTTTTTTTGGTCAATACACGTCTTGATAATATTGATTCGTCTCAATGCAATATTCATTGCATCGAATATTTTTAAAACTAAGTAATTTTTTTTTTTTTTTGAATTTGCTAGAATAAAGTACATCATGAATATATAATTTTGTATTATTTGATAAAATAGTACAAGCACTTCTGGAGCCTTTAACGATGTTCGACACACTTGATATTGTATTAACATTATATTCCACTAATGTTAAGTCCAAAAAAATACTTGTCTTAAGGAGTAGCATGCGAAGTTGCACTATCAATAAAACATTTATCTTGACAATTCATTTTGAATTTATGGTAAAATAAATATTTTGAAAAACTAGTTTTATAGTAAAAAAGAATTAAGAAATACTTTAATCAACTAGAATAGTTTAACAATGTAACGTCTCAAACTTTTAAGGAAAATAAGAAAAAATACTTCAGACTAACTTTTAAATCAAAATAAACTATTGAGATACTGAAAAATAAACTAATCAATATTGTCGAGCATGCAAGGTGATTTTTTCTCTAATATATTTTCATCAGTGATTTTTTTTCTCCACACAATGTCAATTTTGAACATATTCTAAATAGTTCAGAATTGTACTCACTAACTATTTTAAAGTCTTGCAATCGAATATGCATCAATTCATAGCAAGCTTTATGGTGGACGCCTTTTGATGGTCAAATCTTTCAATCAACTTTTTTCAAAGAACTTGTGGGTCTTTTACAATGAGGTATTCAATTTTTAATCCATCATGCCGATGATGACGAAGGAACATAAGTGTTTTTACACGATCCTGCAGCAATTCTTACTTTTCTTCCTTTATTGTGTCTCTTGGACAGTTGGACCATTTGGGACAAGATTAATATCATCATCGATAACTCATAGTAAATATTTTTTGTTAGATATGTCGAGTGCAACAAACTCAAGTTTTGTTATATTTTTCATTTGAGTAATAACATATAAAGTAAAAGAAAATAAAATTCATTTAGAAAAATATGATTAAATATTATAAAATCACATAATAATGAATCAGATAGTTAATGTCAACATGATAGGAGTTATATATTTTCCTTCAGACATAAACACCAATTCAAAATGATATATTCTTCGAAACATGTGCTACATAGGTAGTATGTTGTATTTCACTATTGCTTCTTCAATAGCAATATAGCAATATTTTTCTGAAATATTGAAAATTATAATTTATGTTACTCAGGAGCAATAATGAATTACTATTCAGAAAAATTAACTCTTCATGAGTGTTTTCTAGTAGAATGTAATATTTATAGAGTTGCACTTTTACAAGAGCAGCATATTAAAGAAAACTTATAAAAGAACATTTACAGTTATTTAATCAAGTTAAAGAAAATAATTATCAAACACGCATTAAGAAAAATTTCAAACATGCACATGAATTTATCATATATAGAGTTAAATGCATAATTAATACATGAATTAAAGTCATGAATTAAATGTTGTATAGGCAAAAAGAGAGAAACAAGATTAACCAGAATGATTGTAGTGGCAAACAATTAGGAAATTAGCATTGATTTCAAGAGAAGAAGTGGCAGCAGAATTGTGTATAAAAATTGAAAAATTGGGTGTCCCACTAGATACCACTTAATAGTTCACGGATTATCAATTTAACGTCTTTTTAGTTATCGAATGGTTGTTACTTATCTATTTTTAGTTTTGACCATACGTGCGAAATTAATCAATCAAAAGCAACAAGTCACTTTTAATTGTTTCTAGATGATTAAGCATACAAGTCAAATTATCCTATATTTGAATACTACAATAATACAGAAAGCAATAATAAATACCAATATAATGATGGAGAAACCCCAACTGGATCAAAACTTCGGGACAAAGTCAGTTACCTCCACTATAGACAATCCGGAGTGAGTGATAGTCGGATGCTATC